AAAAAAAAAAAAGAGTCTGCCTTCGGCTTGGGTCATGATCCCGGGGTCCTGGGATCAAGCCCCGCATCAGGCTCCCTGCTCAGCGGGGAGCCTGCTTCACCCCTCCCACTCCCCCTGCTTGTGTTCCCTCTCTTCGCTGTGTCTCTGTCAAATAAATAAAATCTTAAAAAAAAAAAGAAAAGAAATAAGTCATTCTTTTAACAGTTAAGTTTCAGAATTTACATTAAAGAGGAAATAAATTCTGAACTCTATTCCTGGAATCATGCAAAACTGTTCTGGGTTAAAAGCAGGACCTTGGAAATGTTTCAAATACTATTTCTTTATAACTGGTGTGTTTCCTCAGCAGTAAAACTCTATGAAATGGGGATGTTGGCTGCGTGAAAACTCCTACTTATCTAGTCTCCACCCCAAAGCCTCACCCTTATCTGAACCTTTCTAAAGCAAATCTGATTTTTTCTTTTATGGTACTTTTTTTTTTCCTGAAACAAGATGAAGAAGAGGAAATGACCCGCAACCAGAAAGCCACGTACTTAACTAGGCACACACCTCATCATTTAGGAAAAGTTAATTACCAAATGAAGCATCTTGGGGATTAACCAGTTTGCAAATTCACTACTTTGCAGCTACAACCTAAATAATGTTTTTCAAAACCACTCTACTAACTAGGCACAGCAAAAGTATAACTGATTCCAAAGTCAGCTCTAATCTAATAATTTCAGATACTATTTATAGATGTTTCTGTTTTGAGTGTTTTTTTTAAGCTACTCTAAACTTAAACCTACTCATTTTCAGAAGCTGAAATTATCATAAAGTTAAATACAAGAAAAATATACACTAATGAGTACAAGCCACTTCCCCCCAGGATATTCTTGCAAAAGGCTGTGAAGAATAAGTTTCCCAGATAGCTTCAATTCTATTACAATCCTACTTCCCTTAAAAAAACGTTCCTTCTTCCAGGCGTAAGGTTAGCTGTAAATTTCAATAAAAGTGCAGGAATACTTTCCACCGACAATGGCCAAGTAAATACCTATTTTGGAGTTTATCAATCATTTCAGATATAATTCTGACAATCCCCTTTACTAACAGTTTTAGGGAATATTAAAACTACTAAGTCCTGAAACATGGAATAAAAGGACATATGTTCTAACTGCTCTTGGTAAAACATTTATTAAATGTGGACCAACATTGTTCATAGGTGTTTTAAATGGGTGCACGTGCACGTGATAACGCATGTTACGGTCACTTTCGGGCCTCTTCCACCACAGGATTAGGTCTAAGCCCATTCACCAAGTTATTGATTAGCAATGGTTTCTGTTGAGACAGGGGGTGGCAGGAAGTAAGATTATGTGGAATGCCACTATAATTCCAGCTGTATATAGTTCTGTTTCTATTGGGCCTGCCCGAAAGAAAGCAACTAAAAATAAGTATTTTTAAAAAGATAAAACCTAGAAGAAAGGAAGATAAGTTCAAGCGATCTCACCTGATGTTCCACAGGTTGCCTCACTCACCTGACGGACTCTTGAAGGCAAACCGCTCCACACCTCAGTTCCCTCGGCCCTCTCTCCTTTTCCAAGACATCTATCTACATTTTGGTTCCCTTCTCCGCGAAAAACCGCCCCCTTTGGCCCCCCAGATCCACTCTAGAGCCCGCCCTCCTCTCAGGTGCCCTCCTAGGTCCACCACCCCCATCCCGTTCGCAGAGGCCGGCCTCCGCACCCAGCACCCAGACTTCACACCCTCACACTCCGGCTCCCGCCAGCACCTCCGGCCTCGGCGGCGCCCGCACCGCACCCCAGCACCGCCCCGCAACACGCCCCCCGCCCGCAGCCCCCTTACCACACATGATGCAAAAGGCACGGTCCGCGGGCGAGCGGCGAACGGCTGGCGAGGTCGGGAGCGCACACACGAGCCTCAGGGGCGATCGGCGAGCTTGGGGGCCCGGGGCAAGCCAACACGACTCCCTCGGGGATGCGACGGCCGAAGGAACGACAGCCTTCTCGGCCTCCCGGGCTCGCCAGCAACTGCCGACGGGCCCCGCCCCTCGGCGCGCAGCGCGCCGCCGCCGCCGCCTCCCGCGGATCCCATTGGGCCGCATCCGCGCCGCTCACGCGTAGCTCCCGCCTCCCCGCACCGCCCCGCACCGCCCTCGAGCCCACGCAAGCGCTGGCCTGCTGGCGGCGGAGACGTGGCAGCAGCCGGCGGCCGCATCCGCTTGGGGTTCCTGGAGCTGCCCGGCCCCCGGGCGAGCAGCTGGAGGAACCACGCCGTGGGGGAGGAAGAAACTCGGCGGCTGGCAGGGAAAGACGGAACGTTAAGGAAAGAGGAGGATGGAATTGTCAGCAAAGCAAATAGCATTGGAGCACGCGCCCAATGCAACCCAAGGCCCCAGGCTACGAAGCGGCGGAGAAAGGGGGAAGAAAGAGGGAGGCCTGAAAAGGGGGTTCTGGGGAACAAATAAACAAGTCAGGCTGGAAAGGGACATAAGGCTGAAGAAAAATTGCAAAGAAAACTGAATGAGGTAGGGAGGAAAGGGGAACCAAAATTCTTGATGTAAAGCGCCGTTCAGGTTCGTCCAGTCTTTCTGGTGACAGGCAATTCAGTTCCGGACTTAAGCTCTGTGTAATATGCTTGGCCTCTAACGCCCTCCGCACCCCACCCCACTCCCATTCATTGCCTCCCTAACCCCCAGATTTTGGCAGAGCGGATTCGGGGGTGGGGGGAAGGTAAAGTTCAAGGATACAACACTGTGCTCCTGGGCTTGTGAAACTTCTGGCCCGGACTTCTGATGGCCCACCTGAGAAGACTAGGAATTGCCCAGATTTGACAGCCTTACATTTGACTCACTGACGATTCATTCTGTGAATTAATGCACCACTCCTGCCAAGAGAGACTTAATCAGAGAGAGATGATGTTTCTGAGAATTTATTATCCAAGCATTTGCTCTAGGAAGATTTAAATGGTAACTTTAGTCAAATGTAGATAGTTATCGTAACTATTAATGGCTCTAGATTAGGATCAAATAAAAACTTGATTGGCATACAGAACATGGCATGGACTTCTGACCCTAGTTATCTGGGCTTACCTCACACGATTGCTGTCTTCCTACCCCACCTTCCAGCCCTTTACACTCCAACAACGCTACACCGTTTCCCTACTGTGCCAACATTCTCAAATATTTTGTACACATTAGTTACTCTTCGTGGAATCCCCACCCCATTGGGAAAAACCTATTTTTTTTCTCCCTAGACAGACTTAGGGACATGGATTAAGCTCTCATTCTTTGACCTGCCCCCTTTAAATCAATATACTTCTGACACTGTGTGTGTGTGTCTATTTCCCTCCTAGGCTGTTTCTTGAGGCTAGAACAATCCTTTGCATACCTAACACCTAGTATAAACCCTAGCACAAAATAACGGATCAAAATGTTTTTGTGGCACCTGGCTGGCTCACTCAGTGAAGCATGCGACTCTTGATCTCAAGGTCATGGGTTTGAGCCCCACATTGGGGGTAGAGAGTACTTAAAAAAAATAAAAGAATAAAATATTTTTTAAAAAATGTTTTTGAAGGAGTGAAAAAAGCCATATTAGTGGAATTGACTTCCTATGACTGGTTATATGATCAAGTGAACGAAGGAAGGGCTTTTCAGATTTTCTTAGAGGGAAAAAATAAATGCTTTTTATTACTTGCCTCAAAGAGAGGCTAGAAAAATGTTACATTTAACTAGTTTAGTTACAATTAACTAAACTAGGTATTTATCACCTAAGAGCCCTTTAATATTTCAGTCCCTTAAGCCCCTAAATGACCCCAGAGCAAAGTTAAAAAAAACAGTGAGCTGTTTGTTAATAGACAACACATTTCTTTTTTTTTTTTTAAAGATTTTATTTATTTATTTGACAGAGAAAGAGATAGCGAGAGCAGGAACACAAGCAGGGGGAGTGGGAGAGGGAGAAGCAGGCTTCCCGCCGAGCAGGGAGCCCGATGCGGGACTCGATCCCAGGACCCTGGGATCCTGACCTGAGCCGAAGGCAGACGCTTCATGACTGAGCCACCCAGGCACCCCGACAACACATTTCTTACTTCAAGAGGCAAGAGACTGTGGATGTACATCTTGGCCTCAGAACCCTCATCTAAGAGTTTCTAGTAAGACTGCAGTGATATTGCCAAGGAGTCAAGGTAACAAAGAGAGGAGAAAAGCAAGGGGTTCAATGGTATTTTAGTTTGAGCGTGAGAACTTTGATGCTACTGCTGGCACTTTCTTTGTGGCATCATCAGGTTTGCTAGCAGTGCACAAAGGTGTTGTTCAAACACTGGAATCACACTTTGACTCCTTGGTGATTATAGTTAATAATACTGTGGGTTCCACATTGTTTTTAGATATACCAACTAGAAGCCCAATGGCCTTCTGCCCAGCAGGATGTATGGCAAGGAGGAGGTTGAGAGAAACTTTCAAAGTCAGTATTTTCCCAACGCAATGCAACAAAGAGCGCTTTATAACTATGCTCCAGTCAAGACACTAATATGAAAGAATTCTGTTTGTCTGACCCCCATCTCTATAGAGCTTTGCCTTAGCTGGACCTTTGGGAATAGGGACTGGAGAATAAAATAAATGATCTGTAAAGGAAAGGGGACATCTGGGTCTAATTCAAACATCTGAAGAAATGGAAAGGATTTTCTCTCCTCATCAAAAGTTCTGAACTAACTAAGCTTTAAAAAAAAAAAAAAAAAGAATGATGGTACGGATGGTGTCATCATCTCTTTAAGTCCATTTCTCTGTTCACAGATTTGTCCTGTTAAACCTGATGGCTCTGTCTCCTTCATGCCATACAGCCTGATGGGCAGAAGGCCATTAGGGTTTCCAGCTGCCATTTCTAAAGAAAAGGAACTGTAATTAAAATAGCTTTATGAAATTTTTAAATGGGGGGCAGGGGGATGGCACCTGGGTGCCTCAGTCAGTTGAGCCTCAGACTCTTGGTTTCGGCTCAGGTTGTGATCTCAAGGGTCGTGGGATCAAGCCCCATGTGGGACTCCCCACTCATGGGGTAGTCTACTTAAAGATTCTCTCCCACTGCCCCTCACCCCACTTGGGTGTGCACCACGCACACTCTTTCTGTCTCTCTCAAATAAATGGATAGAATCTTAAAAAAAAAAAAAAAGATTTTTAAATGTCCTCAGGTTTGTAATTTTTGTTATCCCTTACCTGAATTCCAATAATAGCAATAAAATTATTATAATAAAAAATGCCTAGATACAAACTTCCAGTTATAGGTCTGGGGAATGTAATGAACAGGATGGTAACTATAGTTAATAATACTTCATTGTATATTTGAAAGTTGCTAAGAGAGTAGATCTTAAAAAGTTTTTATCATAAGAAAAAAATTGTAACTATGTTTGGTGATGAGTGTAAACAAGACTTATTGTGGTGATTGTTATGCAATATATACATATACCCAATCATTCTGTTGTAACCTGAAACTAATATATGTCCGTTATATTTCAATTAAAAAAAGAAAGGCCTGTGCGTAACAAGAATATGGGGAGCAGGGATACAAATGTCCCAATTTTTAGGGAGTCTTGTGGAGAAATGTACCCCAGTGGGCAGAGAAGATGGTGGTAAGTATCAAAGGAAGAAGAAACAGAAGGAGCTACTAAGGCCTATGAGATGGAAGAAATGAACACAAGAATAAAAGGCACCAGTCAGGGCCTCAGCAAGACCCCTTCAGTGAACCCCTCTGGTTCTACCACCATCCCAATTCATCCTATACACCTTCACACCAAAATGACCTTTAAAAACACAAATCTGATTGTTTCTCCCTGCTTCCAATTCAGTGGGTACCCTTCAGCTGCAGGATTAAGTCCAGACTCCTATGTACACACACACAGTTACCCAGGATTTCATTCCTGCCGGTTCTATCAGCATCATTTCCCACTACTCTACTCAAGCAAGCATCTTATGGTCTAGCTATATTGAACTAGCTCCCTAAGAATGGACTACGATGCTTTTTCATCTTTGCATGTGCTCTTTTTTGAAAGGAAGCACTAAAAAGGTAACCCTATGTTAAATAGGGCATGACTATAGAGAACTAATCACAAAATGGGATTAGAAGGGGACCACAAAGTTCCTTTGTCCAAAATTACCTCCACTCCTTACCTATCACATTGCCTAAACTCTTATCTGTATTTCTATATTTGAGGCAGAGCACCTTGCCTTCCCCCAGGAGGTCTACAGTAAGTCATTATCTTCTATTAACACTTTACAGTGACACTACATATAGAGTTAATTTTCATTTGGATACCAGGTATGAAAAGGTCACTGAGGAAATGAGAGTTTTGATGCAGATGAAGTTGATTCTGAAATCAGAAAGAAGGCAGATCTGGACAGATCACCTTGGTTGATGACACTGGTCAAAAAAGGGACAACATAAGGGCATGTGGAATTGAGTATGATAATGCAGAAAGAAGTGGCCAAGATATGGAAGAAGGAATCAGAAATAAGTCAGTGATAAAAGCAAACTCTGCCCTCTATAATGGTTAATTTTATGTATCAACTTGGCTGAGCCACAGTGCCCAGATATTTGGTCAAACACTATTCTGGATGTTAGTGTACTTTGGATGAGATTAATATTTAAACCAGTGGACTTTGAGTAAAGCAGATTGCTCTTTATAATGCAGGTGGGCCTCACACAATCAGTTGAAGACCTGAATAGAACACAAGACTGACCTCCCTGGAGCAAGAAGGAATTAGGCAGCACTCAGCCTTTGGACTTCAACTGCAACATTGGCTCTTCCCTTGTGTCCAGTCTGACAGTCCACCCTGAAGATTTCAGACTTTCCAGCCTCCATAATTACATGAGCCAATTCCTTGAAATAAATACTTAGATAAATAGATAACAATTCATTTTGTTTCTCTGGAGAACCTTAATACATCTACTTAATGTTGATCTTACTGATTTTCTCAATGCTGAATATATGAATTTGTTTTAAATTTCTAAAGGATAGAGCTTTTAATGACAAAGAATAGAAATCCACTCAAAGTAGCTAAAGAGGGGATTTATTCGCTAATGTCATTGGAAAGGACAGGGGTACAGCTTCAGGCACACCTGTATCCAGGGACGCAAACGGTATTGTCAGAACTCCCTTTGATTCTCTCTCCCTGACCTTATGCACAGGGAAATGACCCTCAAACACCTCTGGAATCACATCTTTATAGTTTGCAGTCCAAGGGGAGAGAGGCTATTCCTCCATCCTCACTTTTCATATTCTAGGCAAGGATTCGGATGGGTCCAATGCAGACTCCTATGCCCCACTCATTCGTGTGGCAGAAGGCAGGACACTGTGATTAGACAATTCGACCAGCACCACATGGAGTCACCAGAGGCACACAGAGCCAACAAGAGAGCCAGCAAGTTCCCCCAGCACCACATAGACTCCTTTTCCTCAAAGGAAAGGGGAAGGTGTTGCTAAAAAATGAAGGGACACCTGGAAGACACAAACAAAAGATGCCCACTACATCAGATGAACACAGCCTTGACTGCCCCACCAGGAAACCTCAAGCTTAGGAACAAAGGATGCGGACTCCCACTAGAATTAGGATATTCCCCTATACTCCTCTCTGCAGTGCCTCCAACTTTTCCCAGTAGGCAGAACCTGGGGCAGAGTTTTCTAGCTCTGCTAGAAGGAAACTCACTCTACTGCCTAGAAATTGTCCACAAATAGGAAACCATGAGATTAACTGGGCCTATCTACTATTTCTGTTCTGTAGGATGTGATCAGAGCTGGAATGAAAGCAGACCATTCATGGAGCTGCCTAGAGCTGAAAGATCACTAGAAATGTAAGGTGACAGGAAAAAAAAAATACGATTTCCCAGTTTCTTTCAGGTGATACAAAGGCATTTCTGCATAGCCTACAAGAACCCTGTCAAGATTGCATAGATAACTGTTGTGGGGAAATGGAGTATAAAGCTGGGTTTTCCCAAGAAGATATAAATTCCCACTGGACTGAAGAGCAGCTAGCTTCCTACTGCTGGAAAAAGGGTGGTGGTGTGGGGGGGAAGGACACATATGCACATACCACTGCTTTGGCTCATTAGAGTCAGGAGCAAATAAAAGATGGAAGACTTTGGCCCACTAGAAAGCAGCACCTATGAAGGCAAGGAATGCTCTCCCCCATCAGGTAAGAATACTCAGGAGGGGTATGTGGGTCTAATCCCCTTAAGACAAAATATAGGGTCTGCAGCCAGAATGCCAGGGTTCATATTCCTGGCTTTTCCACTGAAGTTGTATGGCAATGGAAAACGTACTTCTCCCTGTGCCTCATGGGGACAGTAACAGTTACTGATCTCATAGGGTTAAATGACTTCATAAATGTAAGGTGCTTATAATAGTGTTTGTCACATAGTGAATGCCAATGAAAGTTTGCTATTTTTAAATATTTTACTCCTTGTCATTCTGGATAGTGCTTCATCCTAATTCTCATTAGCAAAAAATCCTCCAAGTGTTTGGCTGACTCTTGGCCAATAATCTTAGTTTCAAATGTCCCATGTTCATAAAGGGTTTTCCAATAATACTTGCAAGATTTTATACATTTTGGGGGACTAATTTTTGTTTTTACCAAACACAACTTAATGTGAATGATTACTTCCCTTTTTTGTGGACCGTATAGGAGAAAATAAAGCATAATTTAAAAATTCAAAAGTAAAAACTTTTACCTGATTAAACTACACCTTCTAAATTAACTTTTGATCAAAAAAGTGGCTCAATTAATTTAAAAATATATTGTGTTCATTTTAAGATTGGTATTTGGCACCATCTGCCACAAATAAAAAAAGCAGTAAAATTAATGTACCAACTCCTCCATGATTTACCAAGGCTCTTTGTTAGAAGGCAACCAGCTTCAAGTGACAGCACCTGCCAACAGCAGTTGTTCAAAACAAGGAAACCTCTTATCTCACATGATATTCTGAAAATGGGTGGTTCCTGGGCTAGCTCAAAAGTCAATAATGTCCTCAAGGATCCAGGCCTTGTTTCCTTCTTCTTTGCCATTCTCAGTGGACTGGCTTTTCATCATGATTTTAAGTTGACTGTCATAGCCTTGACATTAAGTTTTCATTCTACAGCATACCAAACAGGAAAGAAAAGAATCGAGGGGAAAAAAGCCCTCTTTACATAGATTAACTCTCTCTCTTAATCAGGGAAGAAAATCTTTTAAAAACACTCCAGTAGACCCTCTCTTCCAGCTCGTTGGCCAGAGCTGGGTCATATGCCCACACCTAAACTAATGACTGGCAAAGAGAAAAGGAGTCAAAATGACTGGTTGAGATTAGTTATAATTAATCCCCTGAAGTGGGATCTACCTTCCCTGGTCACATCACAAATGATAATTGACAGGGCACCTGGGTGGCTCAGTTGGTTGGTGTCTGCCTTCGGCTCAGGTCATGATCCCAGGGTCCTGGGATTGAGCCCCACATAGGGCTTCCAGATTGGCAGGGAGTCTGATTCTCCCTCTGCCACTCCCCCTGCTTGTGCTCTCTCTCTCTCAAAAAAATAAAATCTTTAAAAAAGAAAAAAAAAGAAATGATATTTGAAAGGGCCTCCACCACTAGATTCTGTAGCACTCTGTTCAGCCCACTGTTTGCTTCTGTACCATTTCCAGGGAAGGACTTTCACTTTACACCCAGGCCGTACTTCGCTTCTTGCAGTTCCCAAATACATTTCACAGCTTCCAGATTCTGTTTACACTGCTCTGTATGTCTAGGAAGATCTTCCCCACCTTTCCTCCTGTTTCTCATGGCTGCTCCCTTTTGCAGAAAATCTTCCCAATACCTTGGCCTCTCAGTTCCACGATTTCCTTTCCTCCAAGAATCTAATTCACTCCCCACTTCAGCCACTTATTTCATGGTCATACCCAAGACTTGTCATTAACTCTATCTCCTCATCTCAATTTCCTGTAGCTTCTTAAGGGCAGGTTAATGTGTCTAGTCTACAAAGCAATTCCCAAAGTCTGACCTGAATTCATCTATAATAGCTCAGGGAACAAATTCTCCAACCCCACTGTCTGGTTCTATGAACCAAAGGACAAACATATAAACTTTAAATCCCAGCATTTACAAATCCTGGAGTTCTTCCTGTTTCCATCGCTATCTTTTTTTTTTTTTTTTTAGATTTTATTTATTTGAGAGGGAGAGCAGAGTGAGAGAGAGAGAGCATGCACAGAAACAGGGGTGAGGGGTAGAGGGAGAGGGACAAGTAGACTCTGTGCTGAGCAGGGAACCCAGTTTGGGGCTCGATCCCAGGACCCGGAGATCATGACCTGAGCTGAAGGCAGACGCTTAACCCACTGAGCCACCCAGGTGCCCCTCCAACCCTATCTTAATATCGATACTTTTGGGAACCAGAATTCCAGAAATAAAATGTACCACTGCTATTTCCCTCTTATCATGATATTGTCTGTGAACTACTGTCTCTGAATATTATAGAAAATGAGAGAGAAGGGTAATTTACTATGTTGGGTATCTGAAAAAGCAGTACCTCTATGGTAGAAAGATAACTGACCAAATTTCTGGCATGGCACGGATTATAAATCTCTGAGTCGGGAGAAGCCAGTGGAAGAAGAACCAAAGCAGTTTCTCATCTTTTTTTTTTTTTTTTTAAGAGATTCTGCTTCAAAAAATAAAGCCTGAGCATACTAAGGCAGCTTTTCCCTCAATTCAGCCTGCTGTGTTTTCTACCAATGGAAATTCTGTCTACGTTCTGGAACTTGGTTCTTTTATTAGTTTTCAGCATTATGACTACTTTTTTGGGGGAAGGGGGAGAGAGGGAGAGGGAGAGAGAAAATCTTAAGCAGGCTCCACGCCCAGTGCAGAGCCCAAAGTGGGGCTCGTTCTCACAACCCTCAGATCATGAGTTGAGCCGAAATCAAGTCAGACCCTTAATCTAGTGAGCCACCCAGGCACCCCTAACCAGATACCATTTTTAAGCCAGAAATGGTTTAGTTTTTTTTAACAAGATAAAAATCCAGTAAAGATAGTTTCAAATATTTCACAAAAAGCTAAGCCATTTTAGAGTATTTTTATAAGCATTCTCTTCATTTACTTCTGTATAAAAAAAGTAAATAAATTAAATGAGGGAAAATGAACTGCTTCACACATTATGCAAAGAAGGAACCATGAGAAATAAAGAACAAACATTAAAATATCCCTGGATAAAATCCACGTGTACAGAGGATGATTCAGGATGTTATAAATAACTCATATGAGGTAAAGCAAACATTGCAATGTTTATATATCAGTCTCCAAAAAAGGGGCATATTTTATTAATCCTCAAGTTCCTTAGCAGATTAATAATAAAAGCTTGGTATATATTATCAGTAAGTCCAACTGCTGGGCCCAAAGAAAATTCTAATTATTTTAAGGTGAGTTTGCTTCTTTTTCATCTGATTCATCATCCATAACCTAAAACCAAGAAAAAAAAAAAGAATTTAAGAATTAAGAAAAAGATTAGAAATTGCTATTTTCCTGATTATACCATTACTTGCTTACCTGAAATACTCTACTCTATAATAATGCATGTCAATCCAGTAAGGCCAAGTCTATCAACAGCCCCCAAAACACAAGTTTGTCTCATAATCTGGTATAACAACATAAAAGCAAATTTAATATTGCAAATTAATTAAGCATTGGTCTCTTTTTCTTGTCCCAAAAAAATTTTCCAGTACCAGAGTCTCAGCTGGACAGTGACTATAACAATTAATTAATTGGTATTTCCTAGCCACAAGACTAATATGATTAACTTTTTTTTCCCAAAAATATTCTATTTACTTAAATATATTCTTAGGAGCTACACCAAACTTTTATAAAAATATATTATTAGAAAAATGAATCCCTAAAAAAAGTAAAGAAAATATCATACTAGCAACTAATTGTTTTGGTCTTACTCAGATAAAAATTCATTTTAAACCTTAGAAAAATGTGAGGACCTTCATTTCTAATAAGTTAAATTATTAGAAAAATACTAATGAATACCTGATTTAAAAAGGAAAAGATTAATCTTTTTTTTAATGATTTATTCATTTGAGAAAGAAAGCATGTGTGTGGGGGGTGAGGGGGTTGGGGGAGGGGCCGAGGGAGAGAATCTCAAGCAGACTCCCAGCTGAGCATGGAGCCCATGCCAGGCTCGATCTTATGACACCAAGATCAGACTTGAGCCAAAACCAAGAGTCGGACGTGTAACCAACTACACCACCCAGGTGCCCCAAGATTAGTATCTTTTCATGAGCTAATATATTACTCAGAAAATAAAGAATTGTCCTTCGGAAAGGAAAAAAGTTATATAAACTCATGAATTTTTTTTTTCAACATACCTACTACAATTAAACACCAATTCAAGTTTATAACCTGACTACCAATTCATCACCCCACCCTGGACAAGTGAACAAATGTTCCTTTGTCAATCCACCAAAGTGTCAAGTAATGCAATTCTTTAAAGAGGCATATAAGGCATAGAGAAGATTATGAAACAAAAATAAGTTTGTTTCTTTAAATCTGGAAGAATTTGGTTCTGATCTGAGACTATCATGGAAAAATAATTCCCCCGTATTTTCTCTTTTGAGTTGAGTAAAAATAGATATTTCCTTCTAAGGAATTGGTATTTTTATAATTAATCTCAGCAACATACAATCCAAAGAATTTTGTCAATCAATTCCTATTTTAGGCAGAATATTCCTAAATTTGGAAACATTCTTCCAAATACTTATTTAATACAAAGAATGTACACAACATGTACAACACACAGGGCTAAGTGTTGGAGAGGAACACAAAGACCTGGATATGATGACAAGTCTTTCAAGGAACTTACCCATAAACATAAATCTGAAACAGACACAATGAAAGAGGCTTTGGACCGAAGCAGAGCCTAAGTCCACGGAGAAGACCAATAAGGCTTTCAAAGAGAAGATGCCATGTATTGTACTGAAAGGACAGATTTTAGTACTACCCAGAGATGAGTGGTTCTCAAAGGAGCTGAGGAGATGCCCTCGCCCTAAAGGCACAGAATGATCTGAAGAGTTTTTTCAAATTTCTCATTTCCATACATTCTTTTTTCCTCCTTGATAATCTCCTTCCATAAGGCCAAGCCTCTTGGTTGAGAATTGCTGCAGTGAAGGTCACTATTTACTGCTGAGATGGATCTGTGCTATATTCCTGAGGTACCTTGGGGCAGAAAAAATGCTGCTTTCAGGCTAGAACTCCGCTCAGTACTCTGTCTTACTGCACAACAAAGTATGATTTCTCGATGAGTTTCTTGCCTGGATGAGTATGATGCAGTGGAGCTCTTCCACTGAGGACTTCCAACTCTCATCTATGAAATTCATGTTTTGAATCCCCTTTTCATAATTTTTCTACAATCAGAGCAGCAGTATGACCTCTGAGTCTCCATTTCCTTATGTACAAAATGGGGAACAACTTACTCAATACTGTGTTGTGAGAAGATTAAAGGAGTAATGTTTGTAAGAAGGCCTGGCAAATAGTAGGTATTCATAACACTAAAGTAGATTCTAAAATAAGGAGTCTTCAGTCTGATAATAATTGTAACACTGAGATCCAGCCCCTGAAGAATATGTCAGGCCATGAATTTCTTCTTTTTATCCCCAAATACTGAGTTTAATATTGAATCTCAATTGTCATATAATATTGGCATACCTGTTCTACACCCTCTACTTCTGGAATATAAAATTGCAGCATGTTCTGAATTCCATTTTTCAGAGTAATGATTGAACTGGGGCAGCTGGTACAAGAACCTTGGAGTTTCAGCTGTACAATGCCATCTTCAAAGCCTTTATAGATAACATCTCCTCCATCTTCCTGCACAGTTGGCCTGTGGTCACAGAATATTTGTTATGTATGTAAAAGAACTGAAGTTTCCATCAAAAATATTTAAAACAACTCAGGGCTTAGATTTATATTGGTAAAATTCACAAAGTTAGAGCTACTTATACAATAGAGAACGAGAAATATAGCTAGTCTCATTTGTAACTTTTTAAAAAATTTCAGATAAAATGCCAAAATTCATTCATACAAATATTTGCTTCACTTATTATATTTAATCCTGCTTATTAATAATCTTTTTAGGGATTTAAGATCTCAAATGTCCTAATAATTACAGCAATTACCTAAGATAATACCCATTTCTTTTGAATGAACAGAGACCGACTAATATGACACATGCTGGCTTTTTTTTTTGCCAGATAAACTTTGCATCGAAATATAACATTAATACAGAAAAATGCACAAATCACGTATGATCAATTAAATGAATTTTTACAAAGTGAACACACATATGTCCCAGGCCAAGACACAAAGCTAGCACCCCAGAAGTCCCCCTTGTGCCTCCTGGCAACCAAAGGTAACCATTTCCTAATTGCTATTACCATTGATTAGTTCTGCCTGTTTTGTAACTTTATAATTTATAAATATAAATTCCATTTAAAAAACATATAGCATTTACTCTTTTGTATTTGGCTTATTTTGCTCTTTATGAGATTCTTCCACATCATCACATAGTGTTCCATTAAGTGAAAATGCCAGATTTTATCCCTGTTGTTGTGGATGGACTTTTGGGTTAAAATCAGATTTTGGCTTTTACAAACAGTGCAGCTATGGAGATTCTTGCAGATGTCTTTTGGCATATATATATATGACTATTGGAAATACACCTGAGCATGGAATTGCTGGATCAAGAATGTACATATATTCACATTTAGTAGATACAAACAGTTGCCCTCTGCCCAGATTCTCATACTCTAGCCTCACACCAAAATCAGCAAAATGACCCACGGGAAGGCTTCATGAGCTTCCCTCCTCTATAGGATCTTGTGTGCTTTGGCAGCTCTCTACTGTTTACAAACAAACAAAAAATTCATTGTATTTTATTGTATTTCTGGGAGTTCTCACCAGGACCATTGGTCCGCTACAAGCAAAAGTGGAAGCCTGTGGTTCTCCACTCATTTAAATTTATTCTTTATGGGCAATAGCCTGAAAAAAAGTACTTCTCTTCTCACAATCTACCCAAACACTGTTTAACTCATTTTTTCATTTTAAGAAATTTGGTATTATAACAATATCAAATCTAGACGGTGTCTGTGAAAGATAAACTCCTTCACTATGTTTAGACAGACTGTCTTAAAATTTTGAGTGAATATACAGAATGTACAGGCTTTAAATTCAACTGCCATGGTTACCTATTACAGTTTACATTCACTTCTACTTATTTATTCGAGCTTTTTTTCCTCACAGACAACTAAAAGTATACTGCTATAATGAAAATTGCCTCTGCAGTATATTTGATTTTGGGCAGAATGATGAGCACATACCGTATTCTAGTATCTAACAATTCTTTAATCATTGCCACAACTTCATCATCTTCTTCAGATCCTAGAAACAATTACAAATAAAATAAATCAATGGTAGAAATTTTATATCCATGCAAATACAAGTATTAAAACAGGATGATTTTAACTTAATGTCTCATTAAAAAAATAATAAAAGCATAGAACATGTAACTTGGTATGGTGATATAAGGGAAATGGAAATGATAGTTGGGAAGATGGAAAGATCATTCGATTCTCTGAAGAAAAACTTTTTTTTTTTAAGATTTATTTGAGGGAGGGAGAGAGAAGGTGCGCATGCGCGGGAGAGAGGGGCAGAGAGAGAGGGAAAGAGAGTTCAAGCAGACTCCACACTGACTGCAGAGCCCGACGTTGGGCTCAATCCCATGACACTGAGATCACAACCTGAGCCGAGGCCAAGAGTCTGTTGCTCAACTAACTGTGCCACTCAGGCACCCCTTGATTCTCTGAAGAAAAATTAAGGAGCACTGGTCAACTCAACACTTGGCAATAAAGGTGAGTAACTGACATAACCTGATCTACTAATGATGTCAGGGTTTGAATTTTTTTGGTTTGTAAACTTTCATCATCCTCGAGGACTGAGAAATGGTAGAGAAAAAAAATTGCCTGGATTCTGATGGAAAGTGTGAGACACAAAGGCACACCTACTTTGTAAGTTAACTTACATTTTTAATTTTTCAATTTAGTGGTTTTCAAAATGACAACTATACTAAATATAGATATAAGCCTTATGGAAATTTTCAAAATGCTAAAAAATCAGTTTTTTCATTTTGTGTCATTTTTGTTTTTCTTTTACTTTATAAGGTTATATACTGATCTTCATCAATACCTTTTTTATGGGTTTAAAAATTTTTTTGAGAAATTTACCTTTAGGAAAACTAAAAATTAGATAATTCAAATTATACTATAATACGTACTAGAGTTCTGACAACAATGTAACAATTATCAATATTAAATTATATTAACTTTGAGTCTTTTTTAATAAAAGAAAGAAAATATAATAAAATTAAAATCTCTTATGTCAAGACACCTGGGTGGCTCAGTCAGTTGAGCATTGGACTCTTGGTTTCAGCTCAAGTCATGATCTCATGGGTCATGAGATCGAGCCCACATCAGGCTCCACACTCAGCAAGGAGTCTGCTTGAAAGATTCTCTCCCTCTGCCCCTCCCCACACATGTGAGTATGCATGCTCTCACTCTAAAATAAATAAACAAATCTTTAAAAAAAATTCTCTTATGCCAGCAAACCTAAGTTCCATTCCCCACTATCATTCCATAAACAACCACTATCACAGTTTAGCATATATCTTTCCAGTACATTTGCATTAAATTTTCTTGTGCAAATTTACAGAGATAACATACACACACTGTTCTATATCTTTTTTCTATTTAATATATCTAAAAGGCCTTTCCATATCAGCATATATAGATATGCCTCAATTTTTAAAATAGGTACACAGTAATTGTATGGATTTTTTTTTTCATTTAGCTAATTTCTCAATTATTTCAGTTGTTTCCAGTTTGTTACTATTTCTAACAATCTGAAGCATACATGCTTCTGTGTACTTTTGCAACATCTGAGATATTTCTCACATATCTACATATCTATGAGATAAATTCCTAGTGGTGGGATATTTGGGTCAACAGGCTTGTGTATTTTTTACTCTGGGGAGGTGTAGTCAAGTGGTTCTACAAACATTCTGTCAATTCTATGTATATACCCACCAAGAACAAATATAATTGAGATATTATTTCAAGTTTGCATAAATAGTATATATGTAAAAGTATATAAATAAATGTACCCTTCAATTTTCCTTAATCAGTTAGTATTTTCTTTTATATCTTTTCAAATTGGTATCTCCAAATCTAGTTCATTCTTTTTAACTGCTGATATATTTTAAAAATATTTCAATGAACATGCTTCATATATTGTTTTGTGTACATTTACAGGACTCATTGAGGGTATATATCTAGAAGTGGAATTGTTCATCTAAAGACTATACAAATTTTTGTGTGTACATGCATATGTACATGTAAACACACATGACAATATCGTTATGATACTAGGGGAAAGAAAAACTTCATCAACAACAAATTGTAATAGTCACAGCTAATACTAAGCTCCATATGCAGTGACTCTTCCAAGTGCTTTATACAAAGTAACTTATTCAAAAGGTACAAAAAGTACAAACCACAAAGGAAAGGATGAATATATGTGACTACATGAAAAAGAAAAATGTCTGTGCTTGCTTCAACAGCATAAATACTAAAACTGGAATGAAACAGAGAATATTAACATGGCCTCTGAGAAAAGTTTACATGCAAATTCGTGAAAATTTAAAAAACTGGAAAAAGAAAAATTTCTAAATGACAAAAATCCTAAACATAGTGAGAAGATAAGGAATGGTTAGGGAGAAGTTCTTTGCAATGAATATACCTAACAAAGGATTAATACCCAGAATATTTTTCAAAAACCTGCTGAAGTCAATACCAAAAAAAAATATATATATATATATAGATATATATACACACACAACTCAATTTTTAAACAATGGGTAAAGATTATGAACAGGAAATTTACTGACAAGAAAAATAATGACCAGTAAACATATGAAAACCTTCAGTCTCAGTGCTAATCAAGGAACTGCAATTAAAACAGGGTACCATTTATACTTAACATACTGGTTTTAAAAAAAAAAGTAAAAGACACCAAGTGATGATAAAGATATAAGAAAGTTCAAATTCTTATATCCTGCTAATCTGCATGTAAATTAAAACAATTTACAATACAGCAATTCTGTTTTTAGGAATATACTCTAAAGAAATTCTCCACATACCCACAGAGACTTGTACAAGGATGCCCACTGTAGCAATGTTTGTAATAGAAATGAGCACAAACAATTCACTTGACCATAAGGAACAAATTCACTCACTGTAGTTTATTCATATAACAATACTATCTAGCACTTAAATAAACTAGAATGACATTTTTTTCAAAATGGTTGTATTTCAAAATATTATGCTCAGTGAAAAATGGCAAGTTGCATATAACACACATTATTTAAAGTTTAAAAAACCAATACCATATATTCCCCGCAGAGACTTACACGTGTAGTAAAAGTTTAAAAACAAACCAGGTTTACATACATCTCTGGAAATAGAAAGGGGAAAGCAGTGGATGGAGGTTGTGAGGTCTTGGCTGTATCTTTAATGTTCTATTTAAAAAGGGTCTCGGGGGCTTGGGTGGCTCAGTCCGTTAAAGCGTCTGCCTTCGGCTCTGGTCATGCTCCTGGAGTCCTGGGACTGAGTCCCACATCGGGCTCCCTTTAGCAGGGAGTCTACTTCTCCCTCTGCCCTTCACCCTGCTCGTGATCTCTCTTACTCACTCTCTCTCTCTCAAGTAAATAAAATCTTAAAAAAAAATAAAAATGGGTCTCAGGCAATTACCGCAAAAAATTAACATCTGTTAAATCTGAGAGGAGAGCAAATTGGTATACATCATATTATTTTCTGTAGGTCTGAAAATTTTTATAATTGAAAAACATCAGTTTTGTATAATATATTCAATTTATGCACAACTTTTCAAAAATGATGAATAAAACTAGTATATGTGAAGTCTTGTTCCCTCTGGAATTGGTTCCAGATCTAAACAATGATAAAAATCTATATTATCATGACCTCCAAAATCAAGACAAATGTGAAGAAAGTAAAGTTTTTTTTTAATTAAAATAAATATTAACTATCCAACACAGTACCTGCTTCTCCTGAAGATGTTTCCTCAGTAACTAAGGGTAAGCCAGAAGCAAAGAAATCCATGATTGTTGCATAAATATCCGGTTTCAGTAAATTCCAGTCTAACTCTTCACTTTCCTGTAAATATTTAAAGGAAAATGCTACATTTCTAATCAAGAGCAAAGACTGATACAAAATAATACTTTGTATCTTTTAAGAATCTTTTCGTATATATATCCTATACTGTGTAACAACAGCACTCATTTATGGAGAAGACCTGTCAATTCCAGTCCTTAAGGGATCTGGTTTATAAGGACTTTGGAAGATATAATCTTAGAACATTCCTCATACATTCCTCCATTCATTCATCAAACTTATGTTAAATGCACCATGCCTTGTACAGGGGATACCACAATGATTAAAAGATACTTTTTCATGAGGTGAAGAGAGTTAAAACACTGAGTGAATTCGGTGAGAATGATAAAGAGACTTCCCATTCCTTTAAAGAAAATAGGATAGAGTTGCTTGATCAAATATACAGGATATCCCACAAGTATCCAAAAAATTCAACTCCTATATTACTTAAGAGTACTAAAGAAATCCAATGACACAACTATAGAACCAAAACATGTAACATGTCTTATCTATGGTGGTAGTGCTAGACTTGTGGACCTCCAACAAGCCTGGTATCCTTAAGAAAGAATCCATACCTATGTCACCTCTATGTCTGGCCAACTAGTTGATTCCATCAAAAAAAGGCACGAATACTAAATACCTAAATAGTACTAATATCCAAAAAGAGAAAGGGAACATGTTTTCTTTTAGTTTTATATATATATATTTTTTTAAAGATTTTACTTATTTGACAGAGAGAGAAAGAGAGCATAAGCAGGGGGAGTGGCAGGCAGAGGCAGAGGGAGAAGCAGGCTCCCCGCAGAGCAGGAGGAGCCCGATGTGGGACTCAATCCCAGGACCCCAGGATCATGACCTGAGCCGGAGGCAGTCGCTTAACGGACTGAGCCACCCAGGGGCCCCTCTTTAAGTTTTTTAAAGGAGAGCTCTTTAGGAGGAAAGACTATTAGATGTAGTCCATTTAGACTCTCAGGAGGCTGTTAGCTAGTGGCTATGCTTAAATACTATTAAAAAATGAGTCTACATAAATAAAAGGGGCTATTTTTGTCATGGATTAAGAACCAATCTAGGGGCGCCTGGGTGGCTCAGTTGGTTGAGCATCTGCCTCTTGATTTCAGCTCAGGTCATGATCTCAGGGTTCTGGGATCAAGCCCCACATCAGGCTCCTTGCTCAGCATGGAGTCTGCTTGAGACTCTCTCTCTCTGCTTGCACGCACTCTCTCTCTCTCTCTCAAATAAATTGAAATCTTTAAAAAAAAACAAATTTAGACATGGTATACAGAAGACAAGATAAATGGGCACTACTATGGATACAAGAGCAAAACTAGTGAGTTGCCTTATTGACTGGGAATGGGAACTGGCTCTGGATAACATTTTAATAACTTATTTGGAAGATGGATCAGAGGGCTACTTCAGATCTTCAGTAAATAGTGGGCTCTACTGAGTAGGGAAATATTGGTAATAAAAAAAGAAAAATATTCTGAAGTTGTCTGAATGAGAAAAAAAGGCAGTACATAAGTTTCAAATACATTTACTCATTTAGAAAAAATAACACAGGTGCCTGGCTGGCTCAGCCAGTACAGCATCTGACTCTTGATCTTGGGGTTGTGAGTTCAAACCCCACGTTGGGCGTAGAGCTTACTTAAAAAAAATATTGGAATTATCAAAGTTATTTCAAAGAATAGAAAACTATCCTTGGGGTGCCTGGGTTCGTTAAGCATCTGCCTTTGGCTCAGGTCATGATCCCAGGGTCCTGGGATCGAGCCCCACATTAGGCTCCCTGCCCTGCAGGAAGCCTGCTTTTCCCTCTCCTACTCCCCCTGCTTGTGTTCCCTC